ACACAAGAAGAAATGTAAGCCACGGATTGCCTAAGGCAGAAAGTGTAGTCAGGATCTTAGGTAAAGATCTCGGAGTTAAATCAAAAGTAGAAATTATGAAAGCAGTGGTTCTTACCTGGGGGGCGATTTTGGTCCCCAGGGAACATCTGGCAGTGTCTGAAGACATTTTCAGTTGTCACAACTACAGGGAGGGGTGCTAATAGTATCCAGTGGGTAAAGACCAGGGACGCTGGGAAAACCCCACAATGCACAGGATAGCCCCCCACAACAAAGTTATCTAGCCCAAACTGTCCACGAGTGCTGAGGTTGAGAAACCTTGTCTTAAAAACGAGAAGATCTGACTGCACGAACATATGAAACATCTCCACATCAAACAAAACTGTAGACAATACTGGAACCTTACATGACAAAGAGTTAATAATCCAATCTACACTGACCAAGACCTCTTAGACAAAGGCAAGAGCCCAACAGCAAAATGGGCAAAACTCATTGGCAAACACAAATGGCCCATAGTATTAAAAAAGTTCCCCAAAACAAAAAACAACTCTACCTCCTGTGTAATCAAAACAACTCGAATTAAAAGGACATATCTAATGTCACCCTCTACAACACAGCATAGATTTTCTAACTTGCAGTGTTGGTGATGAGCACTTTCCCACGCCGCCAAATGGAAGCATAAGTTGATTTAAAACAAACAAAAGACTTTCTGGGAAGAAATTTAGCTGTACTTAAAATACATATCTTTTTTTTTTTTTCTGCTGAGGTGAATCATGCTGAGGAAGATTCACCCTGAGCTAACATCTGTTGCCCATCTTCCTCTTTTTTTTTTTTCTTTTTCTTTTTTAATGTGAGCTGCCGCCACAGCATGGCCACTGACAGACGAGTGGTGTGGTTCCATCCCTGGGAACCAAACCCGGGTGCCAAAGTAGAGCACACCAAACTTCAACCACTAGGCCATCGGGGCTGCCCCTAAAATACATATCTTTTTTATTTTAACTTTTTATTTTGAAAACTACATATCTTTTAACACAATCACACAATTTTAGGAATCTATCTACAGAAACAGTTAAGGACATATTCAAAGATTGAGCTATAAGAATTTCAGCTCCATATTATTTATGTGGGCAAAAGACTGGAAATCCTAAAATGTCAAATAAGGAGAAAGTAATTAAACAAATCATGGGATATCTATATACAACTCTTAAAATCATGCTATAGCAAATACTAACATGGAAGGATGTTCATGATATACTATTTATATGAAAAATATACAGAAACTACATGATTTATATAAATCATTTCTGTGAGAAATTAATATGTGTGTGAAGGTGTATGTATGTGCGTGTGTGTGTGAAAAGTCTATAATAATATAAATCAAAATGTTACCAAGTGGATCTATTTGGGTGGTGGGATATAAGCACTGAGGGCAGGCATTTTGTTTGTTCTCTGCTATAACTCTAACACAGAGAACAGTGCCTGGCACAAGGGAAACATAAAATAAAAACTTATTGTTATTTTTTGTTTATTTATATTTTCTCACTGATCTGCAACGAAAACACTATTTGCATAATAAATTTTTTAAATGTTGTTTTTAAAAAGAATAATTCAATGTTTTATGAAATGTTTTACAAATAGGAATGAAAATAATGCCACCTACCTCAAATTTAAATACTAATTTATGTAAATATGCTTTGTATACTCTAATACACTATAAGGCTGTTAGAAATGAATTATTTTGTTAAGACCATATACTCCACAGTTAAACCAGTTTCATACCTGCTTTGGCTGGTACTTTGTCCCAGCAATTTCACTTCTAGTATTCTGTCCTTTAAAAACAATTAGAGATGCGTGCAGTGCTGCTTACAGAAGCAAAATGTTGCACCAATAGAGAACTGGTTGCGAAAGTTGTGGCACATCCATAAAATGGAACACTATGCCACCATCAAAATTTATCCTGTAGAAATGGATTTATTGACATACACTCTTAACCTCTATTAAAAAAATTCATATATATGTAACACAAGTAAAATAATCCCCAGCACAGCTTAATATAACAATATCTATTATGTCAAATACTCAAAATAATTATGATGATAATTTTCTGATAATTCTTATCTTTTTCAATTTCTTTATTCATTCTACTTGAATTTATTCACCTTTTCACTTTTAGTCACTTGTTTTTCAAGATTTGATCAGTCAAAGTCATCTATAACATTTTATCTTTCAGTTGCTCAATTAAAAACATTTTATGGATTGCTTTCATCCTTTGAAGGCATACCTGCTTTAAAGCCACTCTGTGGTTTTGAATGAATCATGTGTATATTTTACAAAACATGGATGTAATTCCTTTTACATTTTAGTGTTAGTGGTTTCTATCTCTTTATGCTTTAGACACCACTTCATGAATCAGAAGCTGAATCTCATTTTCTCTCCTTAAAACAAATGTAAGAATTGTTTTCCAAAGCTTTATTTTTCCTACTTTCACAGAGAGATCACAGGAGTAGAGTACAAAGAAGAAACATTCAGAACTAAATTAATAACAGCTAAAAGAAAGTATTAAAAAAACATGAAATGTTATTTGAATCCTCTTATAAACATAGAAAGAAGGAAATTTTTTCTCCCATAGCACTCTATTAGAGGCTGAAGAAATTTTATACATACCAACCATATACATGCATTCTTTAAGCTGAACACCTATTCCCTAAAAAGAGGAAAGGCTTTCCTTTTTGCTAAGGACTCTTTCTTTATCTACCTGCTATTCAAAAACTCAGTTAAAACAGGCAACTTTGTTGCCTAGTGCTCTTCGTTCTACTTATATTAATTAAAAGCACTAATGAAAATGGTCTCGTATTCCTTTATTTTAATGTTATGAGATTTTATGAGAGGTCTAACAACACCAGACCTAAAATATTTCCAACATGTTATTTAGAAAATATTGCAATTTGGGAAGCTGATCGATACCATAATAACAATGTAATTCTACAATGACGGGAATCACTAAGATTTTTTAAGTATTGTAATGCTTCCAAATGAAATTAGAGCCTGAGACAAGTGGAAGGAAGCAATATGATGAATACAAGAAGAAGAAATTATTCTGGGCCCAGCAACTACTGATTAAGGGCCGAAGTCATGCACAACACTGAAGAGGCCTGTGGGGCATGAGTGACACATGGAGGAGGAATGTGCAAGTGTTGCAAAGGCAAGACAAGAGAGCTGCGCAAGTGAGATGCAGAACAGGCCTGGAAAAGCAACCTCAGAAGGAAATAGTAACAGAAGAGGCAGACATTGCAACTCGTCAGTACCAGAAACAATCCCATCATGTAGTCTGTGGTTTTCCTCAGGAGCTTAAAATTGACAGAACCTAACTCACCCCTTATAGCAAATATACTTCCTACAGACTATGAAATAAAAGAGCCATCTGAACTCATAGTCCTTTTAAAGTTTCTAAAACCTTGGTTTATGTTCAGTTTCTGTAAATTTCTGTCTAAATGTAAATCATTCCATTTTTCCCCTCCAGATACTTTCTTGCTACAAGAGACAGGGGTTTTTCCACGATAAATCCTTGAACCACCTTTTTTAGGGCGGAGGGGAGCTCCAACTCAAGGCGATTCTGTATTATCCTTTATAGTATTTTGGGATTTCTGAACCATTTGATGTTTATTAGTTTGTTGTTGCTGTTGTTGTTTCTTTTGTTTCTGAATCTCCACACTTTTATTTTAGATCTTTTACTTAAATCTATATAATTTAAACAGGAGACAGCAGTTAGTATCTCAAGGAAAAATGCAGCTCTTCAATTTAAAAAAGAAGCCTGAAATCTAGAATGTGTTCCTGGCTTAATCGTATGACCCAGATTTATAACTAAGTAAAAGTAACAACTAAAAAATATTCTGAAAAATAGCCAGATAAATCCATTTCTCTTATATTGCTTTTTATTCAAATTTTCATTAAAAACATGTTCATTGTGAAACCATGATTATTCTCTTAGCCAGGAAATACGGAGGGTAGCAAAAGGAAGGAGCAACTTGGAAGAGACGGCATTGTGGTTTATGGAGGGAACAATACTTTGGGTTAAGCAGCAGGACTATTTGAACCTCACTGTAGGACTATTCTGTCATTAAAAATAATAACAAAAAATAAACCTTATTAGAAATGGGTTGATCCTTTTCCAAACAGCTGATAATACACTATAAAAAAATGATTTTAGGCATTATCAAATTAAAATTCCCATATTTTGCAGATTACCAACTTATACATCCGCTCAGCCAAGCTGTTTTCCTGCTGGTAACTTGAATTCCTGTTTTAAAACTGTGCCAGCTCCTCTTGGGTGTTCTGGTGATGAAAACGACTTTCCTTAAGTTTTAGCCAAGATGGTTTCATACAGGGTCTTATGAAAAAGCCACAACATTGGGGCACACCACAATGACCAGGCAGGGGAAAAAACTATTTTAGAAAATTATTTTGATGTTTAAAATCATAGAGGGGAAAAGACACATTAAAAAGAAATGCTAATTAATTTTTTATATATTCTGATTCCATATACCAAGTTCACTGAATGCTAAATTACTGATTTTTTTTAAAAAAACTAGATATGCTTGTTTAAAATACATTGTTTCCTATAGTGGTGGCTTAAAATGCAAACAAATCAAACCAAAGAAAGAATAACACAAAATAATGAAAAGCTCAGGGGAATGTACCAGACATGGATAAGAGAAGAAAGTTTGACGGCTCTAAATCACTTTTCTAACCCAAGGAATCCTGGTCATTTGAGGCAGATTCACTATTGTTCTATCACCTGAACATAGCTGAAAACCACTCGCCTCCAAAGAAAACACGAACTGGTTGTGTAACCCAGAGACTTCTACAGGATATAACAGTGTTACAAGTTCACAGTATCTCTCCATCTATATACGTGACTGTGGAAGGTTTTTTAAAATGTGACAATACCACAATCTAGGAAAAAGTAACGATACCACGACCTAGCTGAAAGGCGACAGACTGACCTGATTGATGGAGTTGGCAGCACAGGATGCAAGGCCTGTTCCAACCAAAGTAAGCAGGAAACAGGGCCAGTCAAAGGGTCCCGGAGCTAACGCAAACCCAGCTGAGGTGGTGCTGACGACGAGAGCTGCAAGACAGAAGCAGAGCAGATGTCACGTTACCCACGCAGGTTCCAGACCGTAAAAGCCAAAAACAAGCCATCTTCCACGTAAGCCAACTGATTACATTAATCACACGAACTACAGGCTAATCTTCTTTCATTAAAAAAAAAAATCAAAAAAATTTTCTGATTATAAAAATTATATGTGTTCATTATAGAAAAATGCTAACTTTCCTTTAACTCCATTATACTCAAAAGTAAAAATTAAGGTGGCTATTCCAGATTCAATCATTCACTTATTCATTCAACAAACATTTACTGAATACCTACTTCACAATCGGTACTATGCTGGGCATTAGGCATTGTATGGGATAATGGTATATAAGGTCTCATTCTTGCTCTCAGGGAATTGATTTGACAGGGAGATGAGAGACATATAACTATAACTATGACAATAACTATAACACAAGGCATCAAACAATAAGGGTCCCAATTTTGTGACAAGCTCGAGGCAACTTGCATGGAGGGCTTGCCCATTACAGATGATGGTCCAGGAGCCAGAAGATGGTTAGAGGATGACTACACGGGGATGACAATCCTGCAGCCACCAAGAAGAACAAAGGGAAGAGGCAAGGTGCAGAAGCAAGACCATGTAATTCAAGCATCCACCAAAGCTGCGCCTTTTTTGTGGGCCCTAGTCCTTCTTTCCCAGGGGTTCACAGAAGCTGACAGGGCCAGAAAGTGTCTAAGAGTGGTACTGACATGGGGCTGTAGGCATTCACTGGAAAAAGGGTCACCACTGGTGGGCTAATCAGGGAAGGCTTCAAGAAGATGGCATTTAAGCTGGACCTTCAGGAGGGGAGGTAGGAAAAGGAGGAGAATGGTGGAGTGGGCAACATTACAGGTGGCTGGATAAATCCAAGAATAGGCACAGGGGCAAGAAACACCAATGTCAAGAGTCCAAAGTGCATGTGACACCATCTGCCTCGATTTTTAAACCAAACATCTAGGAGTCTCTCCTTTCTCATCCTTATCTACCTCTCATCTGTTGCAAAGTACTGTCTGTTCTACCCTCACAATGCATTTCAAACCCATCTCTATTGCCACCATCTAGTCCAACGGCTCTCAACCAGGAGTGGTTCTGCCCGCCATGGCACATTTGGCAGTCTGAAGACATTTTTGTTTGTCACAACTAGAGGGGGCAGATACTGCTCTCCTCTAGTGGAGAGAGGCCAGGGATGCTTCTAAACATCCTATGGTGCATAGGACAGCCCCACATAACAAAGAATTTTCTGGCCCAAAATGTCAACAGTGCTGAGGTTAAGAAACTCTGATCTAGTCTAAGCCATTACCTTGCCTGGACAACTGCAAGGGCCTCCTCCCTAACTGGTCTCCTTGCTTCCACCTTGTCCTTCTCCCAGATGATATTTTAAAAATGTAAACAGATTATATCACTCCGATACTATACTTGGAATAAAAAACACCACTTCCCCTGCCATATAAGTGCATCTTGCACCTCTCTCTAGCTCACTCACTATTCTCCCATCACGAGGGCCTTCTTTTGTTCTTTGAGCATGCCAAGCTCTTTCTTGCCTCAGCATCCTTGTACTCTTGTTTCCTCTGCCTCTTCTCATGGCCGGTTCCTTCCCATCCTTCAGATTTCATCTTAAATGTTCCTTCTTGGGGAGAATTTCCCTGATTATCCTGTCTGTAGCAGGCCCTCCCCAGTTATGCCCTTGCTCACATCATCCTGTAATTTCCTTCACAGCACTTATCACACTCTGGCTCCTCACTGGAATATAAACTCTGTGAAGGCAGGAGCCCTGACTGTATAGTTCACTGCTGTATATTCAGGGCCACCACTGCGCCAACTATAGAGCAGTACTTACTGGAGGGAGAAGAGGAAGGGTGGTGGCTGTCAGATTGCAGAATAGCAAGTTCAGGAGTTTGCATTTCATTTGGTTGGTATTAAAGAGTCATTGACAGTCTAATGCAAGAATGTGATCTATTACTGGGAGTTTAGCCTGGTAGCAATAAGCACCCTGATTTACATGGGCAGACAGTTTTGCAGAGAAACAATCTGAGGGGCTATACCATTAATCCACTGTGAATACAGGTAGTAAAAGTGGGAACCAAATAGATATAAAGGATATTTTGATTAGACAATTGTTAGGAGTTGGTAACTGTGAGAGGTAGGAAGACAAAAGAAAATGACAAAAGATAAAAAAAAAGATAAAAGATAAAGTGTTGCACCTGGGTGACATGGAAAGGAATGACAACATTAACAGAAATAAGGGTAAGAGGTGATCTAGCTAGCTGGTCTTAGGAAAATGTGCTGCTTCTGAGGAACCATGGGACAGCCAGGTAGAAATGTACAAAAAGTAGATGAAATATGAAACTGGAGCTCAGCAAAGAGACTGGGTAGACAGGAGAGAGGCAGGAAGCCCTGGAGTCACCTGCCTAGAGACCGTGGCTGAGCCCGAAGGGACAGATGAGATCATCAATGGACAGCAAGTGCGGTGGAAAGAAGTGTATGAAAAACGTCAGAATTGACAAATGGGGGAACAGGAATTAATGACAGGCACTGACAACGAATATTTGGAGACCACAATCAGGAGCATGAGGTGTCAGGGTTGTCGAATAAGCATGCAAAGGGCCACAGGATGCAGGAGAGGAAGGCACCACTGACAGCAGTGAGTAAATGCTAGAGAAACTAGTCGTTCCTCCTAACAGCCACAAATTGGTTGGCATGTCCTTCAATCTAGTCTTACTGGCAATGTATAAACTCTTTATAGTTCTACCATATGGACAAGCCCCTTCTCTAATATCTAGACCAGAGACAGCCTTGTTGATATTTCTATATTTCTTTGATAGGGTTTGATGGCAATTTGCAACGATGAATGACATAAGTACATGTAGAGAAGTACTTCTAAACTAAAAGTCTCTAGGGAGAATGTATTTTGGCAAAAGGGTCCTTCCTTTAACTCAGTGGTCCCCAAATGTGGTGTGCAACCAAATCTCATAGGGGAAGATTGACCTCCAGAAACAAGGAGAGAGGTCTAGGTTTAAGCAAACAGGAGAGCAAGGCCCAAGAATGAGAAGGCAGGTTTGGATAAAGATTACAAGAAGACAAGCAGACAGTTATGAGCTGAAGGCAAAGAGGAGGCTGATCAGAAGTCACAGACACGCACATTCAGGAGGAAAGGCTGGCTTAGGCCAGGAGTGCTTCTAGGCCAGAAAGCATGCACCGTCCCCTCTCCCTTCCTCTGCTCCGGGGGCACAGCCTGCGCTGGCCTACATAAGGCACCACAAGTCAGAACACAACAATTTCACATAAGTACAGAACAGCACCAAAAACCCACAGGGACACAGGGGCAGCAATCAAAGACAGAAAACTTATTTCAAAGGAAACATCCTGGAAGAAATCTTTACTCTATAATTCTATAACAACGTGTGCCCCAAAGAAAATGCCAGCCATTGCAGGCTTGGAAAACAGCAGTTGCAGATGCATCTGAAAGGACGTTTTACCCACGCGCAACACGGAAAGAACAGCTTCTCCTATAATTGTCCATTTAGCCACACCTGCACATACTTAACGTGCACATCGAGAAGAGCACCACGTTTAGAGCAAACAATAAAACTCCTTTTAGGATACTCAAATAGCACCCTTCCCTGAGGAAGCTTTTTCATTCTTTACAGATTATCACACCATAAACTACAAAGCCTCATAGACAGGCTGGCGTTCTAGAATGAGAGTCATCTTGTTTTGCATAACTCACCAGCTCTCCAGATGGGTTAGGTGACGCCTCACATATTGCCCTGTGTGTAGCGACAAACCAGGATTGGAAGAAAAGTCCTTCACATCCGGGCTACTCATCAGTCGTACCAGAAGAATGCTACCACCCAAGAAGGAAGGTTGATGGTGTCACTGGGAGAATTTGAGGGAAAAGAGACTGCAGAAGTTTCCCTCTCCAAATGAACTAAGTAGATTTCTTCTATCCATAGAGTTAATCAGTCAAAATAATTCTTGATTCTATTTTAAGCCCTTGAACCTTAAACCAAAAGTAGACTGCTTATAAACAACTACGGTAATTAAAAGAGCATAGAGGGCCAGCCTGGTGGCGCAGCAGTTAAGTTTGGTGTGCTCTGCATTGGTGGCCCGGGGTTTGGAGGTTCGGATCCCAGGTATGGACCTATACCACTCATCAAGCCATGCTATGGCCGTGTCCCACATATAAAACAGAGGAAGATGGGCACAGATATTAGCTCAGGGCCACTCTTCCTCAAGCAAAAAGAGGAGGATTAGCAATAGGTGTTAGCTCAGAGCTGATCTTCCTCAGCAGAAAAAAAAAAAAAAGCATAGAAAATCCACAATAACTTTCTCAATATACAATTAGTAAAATCTAGAGTCACCAAAATAAAGAACTACTTTAGATATCTCTAAATATACAGATTAACATTTTGTATTGTGCTTTACAAACAAATTACAAAAATCAATTACCACCATACTGGACAAGATAGCACCATAATCATTGAACTATCAAAATACAAACACTGTAAAAAGAAAATTTACTTTGTTTAAAATCAAAAAGGGTATATAGTTACATGAAAGCAAAACTGTTAATTCAGAGGAGAAAGTATCTTGTTTTTCTTTTTATCCACCTTAGAGCTTGACTGAGTAACGAACAATACAGAAAGCACATCAAATTTTTGACTAATGGGTCAACTGATAAGTTGAGAAGAGACAGAAAGTGGTTTTCGAAAAACTGACAAAGGGAAAAGGACAATGTTTTAGTAAGATATAACAATGACTACATTTACAAAATGCAAATACTGCCAAATTTAAAAATGTATAAATTGTAAATGGTAATACACATAAAAAAATCATAGAGGCTATTATTATTATTATTATAGAGGAGGAAATTTGAATTTTCTAACACATTTCTAAAAAAGATCAAAAGCTAACAAAGAATGTATTTATACTTACTTCATCAAAGCAATTAAAGAAAGAGAAAGAAAGGCAGAGA